ATAAAAAAAAAAAAAATATAATCGTTCTTTCTCTCTCCTTGTTACATTCCTACGTGTCGTGTTATAACAATTCATTCATGAGAATTCTCGACAATACCAATCAACCCCCAGAGAAGCACAAATGTAGAAGATGAAGTTAGAAGAAACGTGATGACGATCACGTGTGAGTGGACCAAAAATGTGAGCAACCAACAGCTTATTGTCACCTCCTTCTAGATCTAGAGTTCACAAGAACCCAGCCATCGCACCATTACCCCTCTTGATTCTGGGCTGATTTGTCGTGTTGCGGGGGTTAATTGATAATCCAGAAGTGGGGATATGTTCAAAGGGCGTCTGCATGTGTGTGAGTGGGTGTTGGGGGGGGGGGTTGGATGCGCGCCACATCGTGTCTGCTTGTGCTATTGGTTCGTCCTGATGCTCATCCCCCTCCATCGCGTGTCACGCACACACACACACACACTCACACACATGCAGGCAGGCACGCGCGCACAGTCGCGCCCGGGCATCTCGCGCCCTCCACGTCACATGACACCTTACTCCTGCAGGTATGGAAGTATGGGTGGTTGTCTGTGGTTGTCTGTTGTTGTGGCGGTGCTGTTGTTGCTGTTGCTGTTGTTGTTGTTGTTGCTGTTGTTGTTGTTGTTGTTGTTGTTGTTGTTGTTGTTGCATCTGCACCAGTAGCAACCACGAGTGTTTTACCCACACACTCTCTCTCGCGCACACGCATGCAGGCACACATACGCGCTCACACTCCCTCACGCACACACTCACACACACTCACACACACTCATACACACTCACACACATGTACTCGCTTGCGCACCGCTGTCATCACCACCCGGGACATACATCAAGGGGGTTTGTACGCTTCGACCTGGGTCGCACCGGCTCCAGCATGCGCTCCACGTTGGGCTGTCATATCGACATCCTCAGCCCTCAACGTCATGGTGCGTACCCGTGCGTGTGGCTGTGCGTGTGCGTGCGTGTGCGTGCGTGTGTTCGTCTCTCGATATCACTTTCACACATATCCACCCCCCTCCCCCAACACTCACACACGACACACCAGCTGGCACGTGTGGCTCGCATGTGAAGCACCCCTACTATCCGCTTCCTTCCTTCCTTTTTTCTCTTTGATCCCACCCCCTGCCTTCCCCATTTTACAGGTTGTTGGGTACCTGCTGATCTACTTCGGTCAGCTTCGTAAAAACCCAAAGGTGAGCGGCTTGAGTGTGTGTGTGTGTGTGTCAGTGCGTGTGAATGTGTGTGTGAGTGTATGTGTGAGTGTGTGTGTCAGTGCGTGTGAATGTATGTGTGGGTGTGTGTGTGTCAGTGCGTGTGAATGAGTGCGAGTGCATGACACAAGATATGAACCTGAAATGTCAAGCGAAAATATCCCCGCAAGCACTTACACTTCTTTTGCATTCAACTTCCGTTCTTGCAACTCGATTTGCTGTGTGAGTGACGCTTCCACGCCAGCCCACGCGTCCTCAATCTGCGTGTAGCGCTCTGCTTCGTGCTCGGCCCACGCGGCTATCACTCGCCTCAGCTCGTGTTCCTGCACCTCATGGTGGCTGTGTGTGCGCGTGTGTGTGTGTGGGGGAGGGGGGGGGTTGTAGGTATGCGTGGGTGTGGGTGAGTACATGTGTGTGTGTGTGTTGGGTGTGTTCGGGGGTGTGAGTGAGTGAAGGAAGACAAGCGTGTCCCATCAAGCAAACCAAACACACACAAAAGATGCAGCATGTACACACACAAAAGATGCAGCATATACACACGCACACGCACCGGTCCAGGTCAGAGTTGAGGGTTTCGTTTGCCACCGCCTCCTTGTCGCAGGCGCTATCCACAGCCTCCGTCAGCTGTCGGGAGAATAACAAGAGGGCATGTGAGAACGGAGTGTTACAGCACTAGCCAGACCAGAAAAAAAAAAAAAAAACACACACACGCGCGCGCGCGCGCACCATGCAGCAAGTGCATGGAGCATAATGAGCAGGGTTTGGTTGTTGCACACCTCCTGCACTTGCTGTGTCGTCTTCTCAATCTTCTCGCGCTTGATGGCCTCGGGGTCCTTGCTGTAGCGCGCGTGCGCGTGGTGTGAACCAACGCACCAACATGTGGAACACCCGATACAAAAGAACAAACTGCAGCACGTACAACACACGACACACAACACACATCACACGGCGCACCCGAAGATGGCGCCGAGCGAGGTCTTCTGGTCGGATGTCTGCAGCTTTGACAACTCGTCCTCCTTGTTCGCCAGCGTCGTCTCCAGCCGCTGCCGCCGCGCCTCTTGCACATCCCGCCAGTGCAGTGCATCCTGTTGACGGCGCGTTTGTGCATGTGCGTTTGTGTGTGCATGTGCGTGCGTGCGTGTGTGTGTGTGTGTGTGTGTACGTGTGTGTGTGTGTATGTATGTATGTTTGTATGTTTGTATGTATGTATATGTGCGTGCGCGTCGTGAGTGAAGGAAGAATGGGCGAGTAAATGAAGCAGTTACACATATCCACACCACGCCACTTGTACACGACATGAACGTGGTGCAAACGCCACGTGGGCAGGCGATCAGAAGCGCACCATGACGGCATGTGGGTAGAGGGCAAAGTCCTGGACGGGCTGGGCAAAGTCGCGGTCAACAGCGCGCAGGTGTTCTTCACTCTCCGCAGACACCTTCTCAAGGCCGTCCTGCGCAAGGAGCGGAAGAAGGAGATGTGGTGATGGTGGCGTGGTGATGGTGTGATGGTGGTGTGGTGATGGTGTGGTGATGGTGATGGAGGTGAGTTGCGTGAAGGGCAACACACGACAGCAGTGTGTGTACACGCGCATACATACACATACACACACGCGCAACCGCACACACGAAACACACACCAACATAAACACACACACACACACACGAATACACACACAAACACACAGCGACGTACAGCGATGGTTTCACAGGAGACGGAAATGTCGGTGTCACTCTCTGCCAGGGCGCGAAACGCAACAGCAACCTCCTGCTGCAGGCTTTGAAGGCGGGCGAAGAGACGAGTTGTGGTGGCTCGTGTAAGGATGGATCATGGAATGGTGGACGGGGCGATGTGACAGCCATCATCATCATCATCATCATCATCATCGTCATCACCACCACCATCATCATCACCATCATCATCATCACACGCACGCACGCGCACATACGCACACACACACGCGCGCGCGCGCGCGCGCAATTGAACGGACCTGCTTTCGTCGCGGTGGGCAGCGACAATCTTGGTGCTGAGTTCGGCCATGCGTCTCGTCGCCTTCTCCGTCTGCTGCTGTAGCTCTCGCTCGCGCACGTACCGGGACGTGGGGTCACGCTCCTGCACAGGCGGCCGGCGGTGGCGTGTGAGCAGGTGTGTGTGTGCAAATGTGTGTGTCTGAAGAGCATGAAATGGGCAGTGAAATCATCGAAATGAGGCATGACCACACACAGCACACATACACACACACACACACATACACACACACATACATACATACATACATACACACACACCGCGAGGGAGGTGCCGAGGGACTGGATGGAGGAAGCGAGGGAATCTCGGCTGTACTCGGAGGCGTGATCCTTCATGTACGTCTCAAACTCGTGCGTCTTCAGCTCAAGAAACGCACTGGCAGTTGAGACGTGATGATGGTGATGGTGATGGTGATGGTGGTTTTTTTTGGGGGGGGAGGGGGTGAGGGTGAGTTGGGAAGTGGCAGCCGTGGATGGATGGTAATGGTGGTGGAAGCCGTCGTGCGGTGAAGGAGGGCGGTGATTGTATGTATGTGCAAGCGTGCAAACAACAACACGATCGCCATTTCACCATGTGCACAGTCGCATGCCCATACCCTCGAGTGCGCAACCACGAAACAGAGTGTTCACGTACACGAAAGCTGGGTTGTGGCTGAGGACGGAGTGTGCAGCAACACGGCGTAGAAACCTGTAAAAGGTGGAAAGATGAGAAGAACACACGAACCGCATGTCAGCAACGATGGATGATGAATGCAAGGGCATGCAGAGTAGTGGCCATAGCATGCAGTTTGCAGGGCTGAGGGGCGACAACCACAGTGGCAACACAACACAACCACAACCACAACCACAACCACAACCACAACCACAACCACAACCACAACCACAACCACAACCACAACCACAACCACAACCACAACCACAACCACAACACAATGTGCAATACACAGCGCACCGCTCGAGGCCTGCGCGGCGCGTCTCGAGAAACTGCTCGCTGAACTTGTTCATGGTGAGGTCGTGCTTTGGCGGGACCGGGGGCACGATGCGACCAGGCACGCAGCGGGCAAGTTGGGTACGCAGCCACGCAAAGTGAGAATAGCGCCGCTGCACAGACATCTCGCTCGCCTTGAACGGGCCATCGCGGGTAACCTGCCGTTGTTGGCGCATTGGAGGGGTCGTGTGGATTGTTTGGGTTGTGACAACGGACGCGTGAGCATTGCAACGTATGTGTGTGTGTGTGTGTGTGTGTGTGTGTGTGTGTGTGTGTGTGTGTGTGTGTGTGTGTGCGTGTACATTGCGGAACACGGGAATATGCAAGGGGGGGGGCACATGGCTGTGAGTCGCGCATAAAGACAGTGACAAGGATCGACGAGTGAACAGCAACGCGGCAAGTGGGCATCAACGAGCCTGCGATTATGTGTGCACACATGCGTACACGCACCTTTGTCTCGATGGTGTAGCTTGCGTATGCGCGTCTCCCCTCGCCTGCACATCAACACAGGTTGAGCACACGATGAGGCGATACGGGTTGCGGTGATGCCACACACGCACACAAGTTCGTGCGTGCGAGTACGCGTACACGCACACGCACGTAAGTTCGTGCGTGCGAGTACGCGTACACGCACATGCACACACAACAGATGCAGCCACAAACATACACATATTCACGCAAACGCACACACACACACATATCCACACACCGTGCTTGAGCGGAAACTTGATGTCAATGGTAAAGTCCTCCAGGTTCGTCTCCTGGAACCGCAGCTTGGTTGCCGACTGGGGCAATGCCGACGATGACGAGGCCGAGGGAGCCGCCCCAACGTCATCACCCTGCTGCTGCTGCTGCTGGTGGTGGTGGTGGTGTGTGCCTGTTGTTGTGGAGGCTGTTGATGTGTCAGGGACGGGTGCTGTGAGGGTGGCGCTCTGGCTGCTCGACGCCAGCGGGTCCTCGGGCTCGTTGGAGTCCATCTGGGATGATGACGACACAGCAGGCACATCGCTGTCGTGCACATCCTCCACATCTGGCTCGTCGTCCTCCTCCTTCATATGCGTGAATGTGTGCGTGAATGTGTGCGTGGTGTGTGTGTGTGAGTGAGTGAGTGAGTGATTGTGCACACGCAAGTGTGTGATGGCAGGTGGAACAGACAAGCAGACCAAGCAAGTGAGGGCAATAGCGGGCCATGCGCAATCCCACTCATTACACACTAACGGTGTGCTTGCGCTGGTGGGCGGTGCGGTTGCCCTCATCCCCGCTCTCTGCGTGCAAGAGCACGTCACGGAAGCTCATGATGCTGGCTGGTTGTCTCTGCTTCTGCTGTCTTGCTTCGCTTCTGCTTTGTGTTGCTTTGTTTTGGTTTTTGCGCACTGTCCTCTCACACACCACGCACAACCGACAACACACCTCTGCACGCACACCCCTGCCACTCCCTCTGCGTCCAAGCAGCATGGCTGAACAAGATAGCAAGCGCAGCAAGACAGATGCTGCTGTGCCCGTGGTCGCCCTCGCTGCAGACACCTCCTTGACAGACAAGCAGCGGTGCGCTCGTCGCTTGCAGTAACAGCAATGTGATGGCTTTGGCGGGCTGGCCTCCCAGCATCATTCACACATGCATCTCTGCATCTATACATTCGTGCACATGCATGCGCACATACACACTGACACACACACACTCTCTCTCTCACACACACACACACTCACACACTGACACACACACGCACTCTCACTCACACTCGCACACACACACACACACACACTCGCACTCTCACTCACACTCGCACACACACATGCACAACGCAGATCTCGCTGTGGTGCGCTGACGGCTGCGTTTGCCAAGGCATGCGGACGTCAGCCCGACTTCATCTGCAGAGCACCCGGCCGCGTGAACTTGATCGGGGAACACATTGACTACAGCGGGTACGGCGTCCTGCCCATGGCCATCGAGCAGGACATCCTGATCGCCGTTGCCCCAAACGACACCAACACCCTCAACATCAGCAACGTCAACTCAAAGTTTGCCACAAGGTGTGTGTCTGTGTGTGTGTCTGTAACTCTGTGTGAGTGAGTGAGTGTGTGTGTGTGTGTGTCTGTAACTCTGTGTGAGTGAGTGAGTGTATGTGTGTGTGTGTGTATGTGTGTGTGTGTTGGTGTCGGGGCGTGTGTCTGTGTCTGTGAGTTTGTATTTGTATTTGTGTCTGTGTCTGTGTATACGTTGATACGCTGTCTTGATCTCTTGCATGACAGCCTTGCGCATGCAGCAGCAGTAACAGCACGCCTGCATGTTATCCATGGTTCACTGGATTGCCCTGTGTCTCTTCATTGCCGCCGGCAGGAACATGAGCTGCTGGCCCGTTGACATTGACGATACCAAGCACGAGTGGACAAACTACTTTCTCGCTGGATACAGGGTACATTTGGCTGCCCTTGCAATGATGCATGACATGGGACACACACACACACACACACATTCTCTCATACACGCTCATGCGTGTGCATGCCGTGCTTGCATGCATGGCATGGCCATAGGGGCTGCTGGAGCATGCAAAGTGCACGACGCCTATTGGCTTGGACGTGGTGGTTGACGGCGTTGTTCCAACAGGGTCGGGCCTCTCCTCCTCCAGCGCTTTTGTCGTCTGCGCAGCACTCGTCGCCATGCACGCAAACGCCCTCTCTT